ACCCAAAAAAAAAAAAAAAGAGGAAAAACCCTCCTTCCCCCAAGAGGGTTTTAAGAGTCTTCTTTGGTTTTAAGGTAGTGCAAGATTTTTCTACAATAACCTTTGGAGAGTATAGGCTGTATAGCTTCTTATGCCTCCCACTATGAAGGAAAAAATATGATAATATTGCCCCTTGCTTGGCTGTGAAATCCCCTTCCTCTCTATCTAAAGTTTATTTTTCTGTATGCAGACATGACTACTATAATTCTACTACAGAAGTTGTGTTGACTATATTTGCTAAAGGTATCCCTCCTGGAAATGTATCAGTAGATTTTGGCGAACAAACGGTATGCTGGATGTGAATGATGTTTCCTTTGGTTTTCCAGCATTATTTTTACTACTTGATGGAGTTTCTAGTACTTAGGTATTAACTACATGTTTATTATCTTGATATTACAGTTGAGTGTTGTTGTTAACGTTCCTGGTGAAGAACCCTATCATTTTCAACCACGATTATTTGGAAAGGTATGCTTTTGGCCTAGCCTTTCATATTCTGCATGACTTACGTGCTCTGTTTTTTCTACAGTGTGGTTTACTTCGTATAAGGATCTTTTGCTTTTGTTACCTGTGTTAATTAGCCTATTCTCTGAAGTGCCTTTGTATTGATTTTTCTGGTTATGTTGTCAGTTAAGATGTTTGGTACAATGGGGACAAGCGTCAGTGTTTTGACTGGTGGTACCAATTTATGTCCACACAGAAAATGCATAAATGCTCAATGCATTGGCAACTGACTTCTGTCGGTTCCTTCAGATAAGAAAATCAATGTAGCTTAACTTTTACCTTTCCAGGCCTTTGATTTATACTTAGAGTAACCATCAAATTTTTTAATCTGAGAGAGCATCCTATCTCACCATGTTGGAGTCTAAATGTTATACTAAGTGAAAGTCATGTGGTTTTTGTAAATAAGCATTAGCACCTGGGCAATTGAAACCTGAAGAATTATTTGGTCCAGATGCCTCTTGTTTAAGTTCTTCCCAAAGTATTGATGCCTCTCTTAAGTTTTTCCCAAAATCAGTGCATGTCTTCATCATAATTTTTATTCTGTGATTTCTTTGGCGGTTTTGGTGTGGTGTGAATAATGCCATAGAGGTTATGTCAATAAAGCAATTGGGATTTAGTCTACCTCATTGGTGATGCAGCCCAGACGAGGTTGACAATCCTTATCCTGGTGACCTATACGGCTATACTTCATTTAACTAGTCAGCACCATTCATGGACTTTTAGGAATCATTATTACACTTGAACATGTTAGAGTTTATCTCCATGAATGGAATGATCTTAGTTCTTGTATATTCTTTTCTTTTGAGGGAGTTGCTTCATAATATTACTATTAGTTTATACATCAAGAACAGAAACACCTTGTTTGGTACGTAGGAATCAGGTGAAGTGAGAATGAAGCAAGGAAGGTAATGGAATTAATGTGGGAATGGAATGCTTATTTCCATTCTCATGTTGGGGTGCAATTTAGAGAATGAAGATAGAATGAACATATTTCGAATTTACAAATTTTTTTGATTCCCACTTAAGTGGGAATGCCCATTCCCTATCATTTCATTGGGAATGGGAATGAAGGGGAAGTGGGAATGAGCATTCTATCTTCAAAAAGAGGTTGTGTTTGGTATGAAGGAATGAGAAGTGAGAATTGTGATTTCATTCCCACTCATTACCGTGTACTGTGTACCAAATGTGGCTAATGTGTTGTTGCACCTTCAATCTATCATTTTGGTAGTCAATTCCCACTCTTTTCTCAGGAAGGAAAAAATACTGTTCAATACGTAAGCAAATTTGTGCGAGTGTATTGTGTTGTACTGCTATCCATTGCAACCTTGATGACCGTGATCTTTCCCAAAGGAAAAAAGCTATTACTGCTGTTTTGAGGGTTGCCTCATGAGCTCTTATTATTCTCAATTTGAATTGCCTGACACTATTGCTCATCCCTTTTTCTTGATCTATGGCATACAATTGGTCAGCTGCTATGAATTGTATAAATTATTTGGCCCTGTTATCTTTGTTGTTAATTCCTGCCATTTGGTCAATTTTATGTGGAAGTACTGATCTGTATTTTGTTTCTTAAATGGCATATCCCATGCTATTTTCTTACGGGAGCTGACACTGATATATTTCTTGTTGATGGGCCAATTGTCAGATTGTACCTGAGAAATGTAGGTATCAGGTACTTTCCACCAAAATTGAAATTCGCCTTTTCAAAGCTGAAGCCATCACATGGACATCTTTGGAATTTAGTGACAAGAGAAATGTTCCACAGAAGATAAATGCGGTGTCAGGTAATTTTTTTAAATCTTAGTTTTATTGCAGGACACGCGGAGTAATTTCTTTATCTCCCTTCCCAAATGACTAATAGTTGTTAAGCATAGCTGTGGGGCAGGAGCCTGGGCTCATTGGTCAATCTGTCTTTAAAATAAAACCTTACATACGTGCACCTGTGTGATCGTTGATCTTTTTTCGTGTGCTTAAGTGTCTGTAGAATAGGAGTCTTACTCATTGAATGCTTTATATTTGAAATACATTCAGAATGGACTGCTAATCGATTATGGTTTTGATAATCAAAATATTGGTTACTTGTTTCTTGGTATTAATTTAATGGGGCTCAATTTTGTGTCTCTACCTTGGCTTGTCATGTCTGGTTATTACCATTTATGCAACGTTCGAGATGATAATTCAATAGTATTTGATGTTCTATTGTTCTCAATTATTTTGCTTGTTAATACTCTCCCGCAAGTAAGATATAAGCAGTGTAAATTTTTAAGTCTGGTGATAGAGAGTTCACAAGTTAAACATGGAGGAACTTGAATATTGGTTTAGTAATATTTGAAGAGATTCAGATCGATTGCGTACTCTTGCATGGAACACGATATTATGACATCTCATTCTTAACAAATTATATTTCGACTCTGCAGGTCCAAAACAGACGAAACCATCTTACCCATCTTCCAAAGCTAAGGTAGATTGGGACAAGCTGGAGGCGCAAGTTAAGAAGGAGGTATAGTTGGAAACTCCTCCTGTCAAAAATTAATAGAGAACTGGAGTGCATATTGTTGCCTGTGTTGCTTATCATCACGTGTTATCAGGAGAAAGAAGAGAAGCTTGATGGCGATGCAGCGTTGAATAAGCTGTTCCGTGATATTTACCGAGATGCTGATGAGGATACTAGACGTGCCATGAGCAAATCCTTTGTAAGATTCTTTTTGCTGGTCCTTTCTAGGGTTAATTGCACACAGGGTCCCTGTAATATTTGCTAAACTTACTATCTATGTAATTTTATTTGGCGCTAGACCCCCTTGGCCTTTTTTCTTAATAACATGGTGATATTTTGGCAGATAGCGCACTGCGTGAAATTAGTGAGTCTTTATGGATAAAATAGTCAAAAGTTTCACGGGGCGGTTTATCTTTGTGAAATTATTATTATTATTATTATTTTGTAAAAAAAGAGGCGACTACAGCCATAATGCTACAAGGAGTCCGCACTTCAGTTATTCTTGATCGGATTTCATGGTTTTTATTCCCTTGTGTTGCTGCAGGTGGAGTCCAATGGCACGGTGCTGTCCACAAACTGGAAAGATGTGGGGAAAAAGAAAGTGGAAGGCAGCCCGCCTGAAGGAATGGAGCTGAAGAAGTGGGAGTATTGAGCTCGTGACTACGCGTTTTGTCGTTCAGAGGAGTTTCACCGCGGTGTATTGTGGCTGACCTGTTAATAGTCTTTGATTTTGTTCTTGGATTTGTAACTTCTGGTCTGCAGAATCCCCGTTTCTTTGTCGTCGTCAATCGTCCGGGCTTTTCGTTTTTTATGTTGATTACAGTTCTTAATTGTAGTTGGAACCTACAGAGGACTGGTCTTAATTACATTCTTTGTGTGCTACATTAATAGATTGGTATATTTGTAGTTGGATTCTATTGGGCGGTGTATTTTTTTTTTCTCTCTAAAAGTGGCCAAATAAACCGACTATGGGGGAGCGTTGTCAGTTGGCGGGCTATTTTCTAGCGTTAACGTGCGACTTTCGAAAGGTACGATCAATGTTATCGATAGCGGATAGCGTCGCGTAACGATGAGGCGTTGCTAAGGCTATTTCAGGCTATTGCGGCAAAATAGCGGTAAAAAGCGTAAAGTCAAATAGCGGTTTAATTTAGATATGTATAAATACTTAAAAAAATTAAAGAAAATTCTAAGAAATCTAAAAGTACATATTGAATTATTTAAAGAGATCCTAAACATGAAATAGACATGTAACAATCACGTAATACCAAAGATGACTGGAGGAGTTAAAAAGTCATCGTCTTCGAGAAGAAGAGCTTAGCGGTGATAGGATTGCCCTAAGAGGAGCTCACGGTGAAGGAGGTGAGAGGAAGTATCAAGGTAGGTGTCAGAGGCTATGAGAGGTGGTGGGAGTACGCTGAAAATCACAGGAGACGGTGGGATGCAATGGTCAAGGGTTGAGTTTAATTTTAAAAAATAAGCATCAACCCGCTTTTAAATAGCAGTCATAAAGCAAAATTCGAATGCAATCGCTCACTATTTACCGTTATGACATACTATTGACTGTTTTTACGAACATACATATTCCATAATATGTCACCGTTATTGCGCGATAGCGTCGCGGGAAGGGACCGCTAACGCTATTAGCGTCGCTATTGCGGGGCTATTTACCGCTATTTATAACAGTGGGTATGACTGTTACATTTTTGGGTTGATATGAGACTTCATATATGGGCGTGTTTAGTTCATTTTCTAAAAATATTGAAAATGATTTCTCTCTTAAAAAATAAATCCCGTAAAAGTTTTAGGATATTTTGGGAAATCAAAATTTATGTTTGATTCAGAGTGATATAGTAAAGAATTGGAGAGCATATTTAAAAATTTTTTACGTTTCATTTGCAAAGAACAAGGAATATAGCATTATAGAAAGTTTTTCTTGAGCTATTTTGTGTTTGTTTCAAAATTATAGGATAGGAAAGAATTACAAAAAGTTGGAATTGATAGAATTATCGCCCCAAACATCAATAAAAATTATACCATTAAATGTTGAGGTAACTTTACTATTTCAAAGTTGAAGCCAATGGTCATTTTGTGGCTGAAACAGCTAGTAGTGCTAAATTCAGCATATATAAAAATTTCAGCAACCGACTGATACAAGCCAATTTATTTCCCTTTTTATCTTTTTTCCCCCAAGATACTACTTGTTGGAGTTGAAAAATAGATCAAAATAGCTACTGCAATGAAGATGGAGATGATGTTAGATAGCAAACAAGCAATTGACCCATATGAAATGAAGTACAAATATAAGCTTTCAACACCCATGAAGTTTTGTGCAAATGGAAAAAATAAAAAATAAAAGGGGATATTATTGGGGTTGTGCTAAATTCCTCAGTAAAGAATGCAACTTTTTTGAACGGGCTCACAAAGAGGATGATTGGAGAAATAAAAATCAGGTATCACAAAGTGAAGACATTCTTGATGAAGATAAAAAGTCAATGAAAATATAAAAAACTGAAGAGAATTGAAATTAGCAGAGCATCAACTAATCATTTGAAAAATGAGTGCACTGTTTTTAGTTTTAATTTGTGTATGCGTCTTTATCTTTAAAAATATGCAATGTAATAGTATTTGCTATCTTTTTAACTTGTCCACCCATCATAGCATCATGTCTCGTGAGAAGACATGAAAAAATATCTTACATTTGCAAGCCAATAACCAGCATACAATGAAGACCAATCACGAGTCATACTATTTAAATGTATGAACCTGAGTTAAGGAAATCAATGTAGTAAGCATTTACAATAGTAGCATTAGCAGATAATAAACAGCAAAACCGAGAATAACTCAAAGCAATTTCTAAAACTTATGCAATGATCGACAAATATTTTGCTCAAACTCAAAGGAATGATGGGAAAATATAGTCTTAAACATATGCAAATCCTTAAACTCAAAGCAATATACAAGTAAGTCAACATTTCTTAATATCAATTATGACATCATATTGCAGAATCATATGAAAAGCATAGTGTATCCAAGATTCTGAGCTAAGGAAATCAATTTTATAACTATTTACAGTAGTAGCATAACCTAATTATAAACAGAGTATAACTGAGCATGTAATAAGTATACACCGAGCTAAAAATTGTTGGAATTTCTAAGCTCAGTCTAACAATATGTCCTGATCGTAAATAGAGCACAACTGTACATGTTATAGTCATACACTAAATTGAAAAGTGATCATAAACTGAGCTCAAATCAAAGGTAATTAAATATTAAGAAAATGCTCATAATTTGAGCAGAAAACTAGATCATAACTTGAGCACAATATCTGCTCATAATCTGAGCTCATAACCTGAGTACCATTGGCTATTTTATCAAGCTAATCATTTGTAAGAAAAACCCATGTCCCGAAATCTAATCTTTAGTTAAAAAACACAATTGATCTGCTGAAAAACCTTGGGGCACAAATTTTTTCCTAGAAACCACCTTAAAAATAGGGGAATTATACAAAAATTACCTTTTATTTTTAATTTATACATAAATCACCTTTAAAGCTGGTTTTTGGTACAATTAACTACCTCCTATTCAAATTCTTCATTTAAAACCCAAAATTACCCTTAAAAAACTTTCATTTAATGTACATGACTCAATTTGTTAGTGTTTAGGTCTTGTTTGAATGCAACTCATGTACCTTAAACTTAAATTTTTAAGCTTATTTTTGTTTTTCTAGTGAACATTTGACTAGGAGGTGGTTGAATGCAACAAAAACCAACTTTAAAGGTGGGTTATGTATAAATTAAAAATGAAAGGTAGTTTCTGTATAATTTCCCTATTGTTAAGGTGGTTTCTAGGAAAAAAATCCCAAAATAAAACTCTATTTTGCCTACAATCAAAATAAAAAATATACAAAGTAGAGAAAGGTTATACCTTTGCTTTTTTTTTTATGGAGTAGATCCGAAGGCATAAAAGAGAAATTCTGTAGTATGAACTACTACCCAAGAAATCAAGCCATTAGATCGAAAGAAGAGAAGATATATGAAGTGCCAATTACACCCAAATCAAAGAAGATCGACTCTAAGAAGATGAATACATGCATCATCAAAACTCCAAAAACCAGAATATCCACTTCTTAAAAACCCCAAAAATCAGAAACTTCATCTTGTGATCAATAGGTGGGGTTCATCAAGGGACATCAAGACTTCAATCAACCATTTTAGAAAAATTTATGGCTCATTCGAGTAGATATTGACTAGGATTTACGATGAAGAGGCACGAAATGGTGGATTATCTGTAATGATCAAGTTTGTCGCCGTAAAGAGACTTTTGTGACCCGATACCCGTTGTGTTGGCATGGGCATAGAATCTTCAACTCGGCTGACGAGTTTGGCTAAAGCTGAGCCCACTCCTGCAGAGGAGAGGCTGGCCGAGCAATCTTTGCCAAAGGAAAGGCCTTCCTTTGGTGATTCAGCTGCAATTGGAGCTTTAGTTTCCTTAGAGACTTTGCGGACCTTGCGCATAGCCTAGGGGCTAAGGGATACGGAGGAGAGTGCCTTCTCATACTTGGCTTGATCAAACTCCACAACAAGAGTTTCGACCGTAGTTCCAATAAGGTTGACGTCGGATTGCGCCACTGCTTCTTCATCAGTGAAGCTTGTCCCTAGCGGAGTCACCATCTTTTGTTTGTGGGAAAATTAAAGAAGAAATGAGAAGCAAATTCGTATTAATCTACCTAATTGACTTAGGAAAAGAATGAATACAATTCTCTCAATGCAATCTCTCTCTAACTAATTTAAAAAAAAAAGAAATTATAATCTTCTCGATCGGTATCCCGATTTACAAAAGAAGGAATCGACGGAGACCCTCCCCTTTGTTTAAAACTGGGTTCTTCTTGGTGTCGATGGGAGCTTGAATCTTGTATCTCGTTGACGATTCGAACGTTTTGCCTCGTGGAACTTGGTTGATTCTTCTTGATGGGAAGAACTTGCAATGCAAGTTTTATACTCTTAACGAGTTTAGAACTCTGGACGAGTTAAAAACTCTATAACAGGGATTTAATCTAACCAAAATCGGTTTATAGCTAAGAATGAAGAAAAGCTCTAAGAACAGCTCTTGAAGATGCTCCAAATTTTCTGTTGCCGATCTCTAGATCCAAAAATATTCAAAAATCAAAAGATCCGAACTCAGTTGAGTTTCCCACTATTTATAAGGGTTTTAGGGTGTAACTAACCTCTAAAATCGCTCCTTAGTTTGGTTGTGATCCCCTCAAATCGTGAGAAACAGTTTTGAAACCGTTCAACTCGTGTTTGAACGAGTTAAATGTAAAATTTGCATTCTGAGCACGAAATCTACGTTCTGGACTTGGGACGCAGAGTTGGGTTCTGCATTTGAGGCTAAAAACACAGTGGTGAGCCATGCATTTTGAGTCTGGAACGCAAAGATAAGCTCTGCATTTTAAGTATGGAACGCAGAAATGAGCTCTGCATTTTGGGTTTAAGAGACCGTTGATTTGTAGTCTCTCTAGTTAGAGCATTGCAAAGATTGTGATCTTCATCTTAGCTCTTTGGAATGTGAGAGTCGTTAGTTGTAACTCATGTTGATGATTGTGAAGGCCGTTGAATCAGAACTTCCATCGGTTGTTGTGAAGGTCTTTGAATTGTAACCTTTATTGGTTGTCGTGAAAGTCTTCAAATTGTAGCATTTTGGAAGTCGTTGAATTGTAACTTCTATTATCAGTGCTTGATGGGAATTAGCTATCTGCAGTAATTTTTAAACAACCTATAGGAGGTTAGATCCCAGCCGAAACCTAAGCCCAAATAGGGGCGAAGGGGCCCCAAGTACCGTCGAATCGACCCATCGTTATGGGAAGGAGTTGGCCACAGAGGGGGCATCTCCTCTGGAGGAATATGGATGGCCATATTCTCATCGTGTTGATGA